TGCGAGAACTGTGAATCCCATAAAAATTAAATTAATAACAAAGGGAAAACACACACACACACAAATAGAAGTGGAAAAAATTAGTAATACGTGGGTGGGGAGAGATAGTCGTACAGAGAGCAAGGGTACAGATGGGAAAAAAAGAGACAAGAGAGAGATTTGAGGGAAGTGAGGGTGGGCACTGTTGCTGCCAGATTGCACTGCTCTTTTGTTCCCCCTCGTCTCTCTGGAAAGGGCTGCTGGTGTTAAAGAGGAGATGCCGCGGAGGCCATTGTAATAAATGCCACTTGTAAATTGCGGAGTGGAATTATACAGCGTGCAGATGGATCCATACGCCTGAGCAAAATGTGGCCAAAAAACCGGCAGCGATAATTAAGACTTAGGGGGTGAATGACAGAGCCATTTGTGACGACGGAATATGGCGTTCTCCGAGCTCTCTGGGAAACAGAAGGGCTCGGAGAGGCTCGGTGTCACAAAACATTACCCACACAGCTGTTGGCTTTATGAGCAGCAATGGTGTACTCCCTTCCTCCCGCTCATCCTACTCTCTATCTCTTCCTTCCCCCCCCAAACACACACACACACACACACACACACACACACACACACACACACACACACACACACACACATCTCACCTTGGTCACCACACAGGGGTGCTGTTCTTTTCCAGTTTGTGCCATTTTAAAACAACCACCCACCTTTTCTCCCTCCCCAAAACACATGCATTGCCACCCCCTTCTTTTCGCCTCATACCACCATCCTCACCATCTCTGAGGGACTAGACAAGGACTTGTACTCCATCATTCATATCAAGGGAGGAGGGGGGGGTGGCACTCGGCATGCACACAAACTGTAGAGTAACACCCGGGCTGAAAATTCAATAAAAGGCAACGACACTGACAGTGCACGGTACTGTTTTGAATGGGAGTTAGGCTTACTGGGGCTCTGGGCTGACTGTAAAGTAGGAAAATCGAATTGTGGTGTTTTTCTCCCCTCTCCCTTCTGTTAAAAAAACATTTGTGTATGCCATCCCTGCGCTCACTATGTCCACACAAGTCATGCTACAATGCTTGTAAGGTTCAGAAATCATGTCTGTGCTTTGTTCATACTCTAGTGTATTTCAAACACACACACAAATATTTTAAAAACATTAGACATCCTGGGAATTCACCGCACATCCTGCTCAACAAGTGTACCTGAATACCTCTTTTGCTTTGTGACACTGCATAAATTGTCGCTCGTATCTTTGCACAGACACATGAAAAAACTCCTGCTCATTTATTCTACTTGGCGAATAAAGTGATTCTGATTCTGATGTGTCCCCCAAACTCTGCCCTCTCCGTCTCTTCGCTAAGTCCATCTATCTCTCTGCCTGGCTGGCCAGCCTGTCTTTTGGTCTCGTCTACCTCTTTGTCTCTGTCCCGAGGGCCTCCGCAGCGTGCAGAGTAGCCCGCGAAGTCTTAACTCAAACGAGACCCCTTCGCGCCCCGTTAAACCACCGACCTTCTCTGTCACTCCTGTCGCCCGCTGCTGCCGACGACGGGGGCCTGAGCTGCAAGCTAAGAGACCCCGAGCTCAATAAAAGTGTGGGTGATTAAACAACTCCCTGTAATTGCTCCTTTTGTGCAGAAATCAAACGGTCACACTTATTACGGAGGCAGGGGGAGAGGGAGGTGGGGAGCAGCCGCTTCCGCCGAGGGCTAGACACCCTCTGTGACCTTCTGCCCTCCCGTCACTACTCCTTTATCTGACCAAACAACCACTGCGGAGTGCGTGTGTTTAGGTGTTTACCTGCATGTGTGTGCTGCATGTGCCCGGGTGTAAGTTAAGTATGCAACGAAAGCAGGCAGAGTAGAATAAAACCAGAGCTCCCCTCAGTGGCCGATGGCTGAACTACACAAGAAACAAGCGAAGTGCAGTTGTGTGCCACCAGCCAGCTGGCTTTGGTAATGGGGGACAAAGCCAAACCAGGGGACCGTGTCCAACATGAGGCCCGGGTTTCAGAGATCATAGTAACAGGTGAACCATACACATCATCTACTAGTCACACACGTACGCAGCTATCAGTACAAGGGCCCAGCCACAGGGCCCTGTCAAATGGGTCAGCTTACAAAGGGAGGGGCCCAATTACCGTAGCCACAAATACACACATAAAGTGCCTTTCAAGGCCCAAGAGTGCTTCAGCTTCCCCGTGATTATGCCCACTCTCTACACACCCAGCACTTGTCGTACACATACAGAAACTCCTTTGCCAAAATAGCCATCATACTTTCTGCAGCGGAGATGGTTTGAAAGACGAGAGCTTTCTGTGGTCAGGGAGAGACAGAAAGAAAGAGTAAACAACAAGTTGAAAGCATACCCTGCCATATTTAACCAGCACGGATAAGATCAATCTCAACTTGCATTAATTTATGATGCAATAAATCAATTTATGTATGGATGTAGTTTTATCATGCTTGTATGTACAGCAGTATATGTCAGTATATTGCACCACTTTCTCCAGAACTAAATGAATAACTTTTGAAAGGAAAATGGATTTGAATTTCAAAGATTCAAGAGATTCAAAAGGTTTAATGTCACATCATATACACAACTACAGTGTAGCTGCTGTAATGAATTAAAAACTTTGGACACAGGTTCCTCAACAATGCAATATAAATATATACAATATAATACAGGATATACATACAACATTGTAGATGTCATGTTATGGTTAGTCATGCTATTTTCAATATTCTATACTTAAGAATGATGAGAGCAAAACTAATGCCTATATATGTTCTTACTCTGATGTCAATCCCTTGATGGTATATTAATACACTGTATTTCGAAAGTGCAGAATACACATATTTTGTTTAATAATCAGCCTGTGGCTATTATTCATGAATTCCTTCCTTCAACACTAGCATTAAGGGATAATGTTTATACAATAGGGTCAATGTGTATAAAAGCAGAACATAATGGCTCTATGAATAGTGCTGATTGCATATAATTGATTTATGCTACCACATGAACTTAAGAGGAAATGGGATTCAAATAGAAAAGGTCCCCCAAACATCATACTATTGCATCAACCTTTTCAAGTGCAGTACTTTTAAATGTGAGAGTCTGGTTTGTTTTGCAGACTTCAAATAGAATACAGCCCTCAGGTGTGTGTGCCGGTGGAGTTATGGTGCCCCCTTCTGCTCAAAATGTAAAGTTTCAGGCACAATATATACACCTCTGAATGTGATGGTAGGCTAATACTTATTTTCCAGAGACATCAAAGGAAAGGAGACTTTATGTAAAACTGTGCAAAATCAGGCTTTATTCTTTTTTTTTCTCTGCATCGTCGCCTTTCATCATCAGCATCGTAATCACCATCGTTGTCGTCGACATCATCTTTAAAAACATAACTCACCGGAGACAGACAGCCAGAGAATAAATTCTCTAAGACACTCGCAGCTCAAACCTCTTGGCAAAAAAACAGGCACCAGCTATTAGCACAGTCCCCGCAACAGAATGAGTAAGCTGTACATGTCCACTTCTTTCAGGGCAATACATTTCAAAGAGGTCTCCAATGTCCTTATGTACAAGTCGCTCTCTTTCAGTAGTCTCTTAAAGTCCATTCAGTAGTCTTACTTCCAGGAGACACTGAAAGCCCGTCTCAGCACCGACATGGTTTAAGATGATGAATATTATAGTCTTCCTGACACCATAAATACTTTTTCTTCCACTTTTCCTCCTCTACCGGTGTCCTGCAGGTCCGAGGACAGTCCATTTCTCCAGTTTAGGCAAACGTTGAATAAGTGCAATGTCTAGTATAATGTCAAGAAAATACAAACCCACACGTACATACATACATACAGTACATGACTAACTGATAAACTTGATTAGCTATACAAGGTTGCCATTTTCCATCCAGTGTCCTTCAGGCAGAGGCCGGGGAGGATGTGAGCTCACCTGGACTGGATGTAGATATTTTGGTAAAATTGTCCATGATTTTCTGTACATTGGATTTTGTTAGTTGTGACTCCAATGGAAAGTGTAGTTCATACACAAACAGATTTATTTCAAAATGAGATATGCACCCCTCGGAGGAAAGGTGACTTGAACTAAATGGCGGCGCCTGACAGATTATTGTAATTTTTCAACACAGAACATAGGCAACAGAGATGACATGTCATATTAAATCCAGTGTTTGTTTCTTTAATTTAATGACGTTGTTCAGCCTGCCCTTTTATACGTATGTCCAGTGAGACAAAAGTATTTTTTTCTTTAATATCCTGTTTGTTGGACGTTTTGGGGCTGTGAGGTTTTGAAAGTGCATCAATCATTGAAGAAAATCATAATAATGTTAATGTCTGGATTTTTACATTTGATAATGTTATCAAAAACAAAGTGCCTTCAGTGTATGTAACTCGATTTCAAGCCACACCTCGCTTATTGGATTCTGGGAGCAGACAAGGACAGAACGACAGAGCAGTGCTTGCCCCCCAGATAACTATGTCACAGACCTTAATTCATGTCATTAGTCAAAGAATATTAAACAAACGGATCGCAGATAATGCCTTTGCAAACACAATAAGAGAACACACTTCTATATGCATGTCAATCCATCACTTATTTGCCACAAGGGGAACAAATGATCGTTTGGGGTGATTCTTTCTTCTTTCTTCTTTACTAGATATTCACAAAGAATAATGATAAATAAAAGTAGTCAGAAGGATCAGTGAAAGTGCGGCAAGTGAGGATAAACTGTGGAGAGACTTAGCAGTGACTACTACTTGCAGTTCTAACTGACACAAAACTCAGAAAAGCAGATCAAACTTGAGGTTAAATGAGAATGTAAAATGAAGCCACTCGGAGAACAGGAACAAAGAAGGGAGAGGAAAACGAGGACCAGGACAAAAGCACTTGAGAGATAATGTGCTCAAGAGCTAGCTCGGCCGTTAGCATCCGGCCTGAGGTCAGCCCGCCCAAACATTCGCTGTCTGCCTGCCCGCGTGTGTCCCCCCCCCAGAGACAGGTATGGACAACCACCATTAGCTGGAGTAGATCTGGGTCCCAATCACACGCATGATCTCCTTCTGCACCTTAGGCTCCTGGGTGTTGATGTTAGCATCTCCTACTTGGCCATCCTCATACCTGCACATATACATGGATGAGTTGACATGAGATAACATAAAACCTTTATTATTCCCCTAAGGAAAAACAAGATGTCCGAGCAGCATCGGCAATAAAAGAGGCTAAGTGTCTACACAAGGATAACTAGAATAAAAGAAGAAAGTAACAGTATAAATAAAAAATAACAATTGCAATAGGTAGAACACAGAGTAGTTGAGTTCACATAGGAATCAGTGAGAATCAAAAGTAGGTACATACAGAAAAGCTGGTCTTCAGATATGATGCTGGCTTTTCATCAATAGCTGCTTCGGTTTTTATCCCTTTCTCTTGCTCACGCTCAATATTAGTTAGAAGCAGCCAAAGTTTATTAGTATCACATCAACAAGGCATAATGATGATAAATAGTCCTTGGAGAAATTAACAACTTTAAGTTCCTCTTGTCTAGGAAGCAAGTCTTTCACAGTGATTTTAAAAGAGGCATTGTTAAGTCTGATGCAAGAAGTCTTTATGTTTTCATTCTAATCCTGTCAACATTTCTTCAAGCTGAAAAACCCAACCATATGCTGAGCACAAGTTCAGAATTGAATTATATTTAGCTGCGATTTAAAATGTGATTGCAGGCATTCTCAAATGTAATTTCCCAATCAGAAGACAGCAGCAGACGTGATAATAGACTGTGCCATGTGGTTAATGCCTGTTTCCAAAGCTCAGAGTCAAACCCCTAACTCATAGCTTCAACACACAGCTGAAAACATCCTATTAAAAGGCTCTGACCTGAGAGGAACCCAGTTTAGTGGAGCGGGAACTCCACTCAGCCATCTTTTATTCACTGCTTATTTAAAATGATGATGAGGGATGAGGGACAACTGCAGCATATACCATAATTCTTCATCAAACCACCTTCATCATGTGTGGTTTAGCGGGGGAAAAAACAGCAACCTGAGTGATAAACTATAGCAATTTAAGTGATAATGAAGCGTGATGATTATTTTTTATACTGGCTGCCTGGCTGCTATGCCAACACACCTTGTCATTACGCAACTTTTTTTTAAAGACATTTCCAAGGTGTTAAAAAAATGTGGGATTACTTACACAAAAAAGAAGCGTGTACAGACGTGGTCGGATACTGGACACACCCAGATGTTCCCATGTTTCTGCAAATCCTTAGACGTGATAACTGTTGAATAGAAAACACTTCGTTAGAAACTGTGGTTTATATATTTACGTTTCTTATCTGTTACTATCATTCATATTATTGGTTGTTGCTGTTCTTTTTGATACTCCGTTAGATGCACTGCAGCTTCAGGGCTTAGACTCAGATATTATCATAACTGATGCACATAATTTATTTTGTTTATATCTAATTGTTTACCTCTTATTATAATGATTATGATCAGATTATGATGATTGCTATGACCTTTTTTGACTACACAATTAGTCTTGTGAGCCTACTGTTTGGATTTAATTATAATTGCGATTCTCTTCTTGTTTTGCTTTTATTGTGTCATTTCTTTTGTATTAATAAAAAGGAAATATGGTACTTATATTATAATGTGAATCAAACTTTCATTTGAATGTGAGAAACACATCAATATATCATCATATCAATCAAATAAAGCCCCGTATTATATCATACAAAACATGATACCTTCTTGCTGCTTATTACCTTCACACAGAGCGATGCAGTTCAGATTCCGACTCTGAAGAAACCTCGATTGTATTGGACGGCTCTGTTGAAAAAAATAAAGACACAACAGTTAAAACTCTTCCCTGCTTCAGTGAATACCGTGATCCAACTGAGCTGTGACCAGACATTGAGAATTACAAACACTCAAACTGTAAACCCTATAATAGTTTTAACTAAAGCATAGTGCTTTGAAGTAAGAAACATTTTTAAAAGATGTGTACTTTGTTTGGATTTGTTTGTCTTTTGTTGTGTGCAGTCTGGATTAGTAGTGCCGCACTATATTTGAAAAAGAGATGGTACGCATTTAGGAGAGGATTATGTGCAGGACCTGTGGGATGGTGTTCATGCGGTTGTAGCGCTGCACCAGTTCATCTTTGGTGGGCATGCGGTGCTGTCCTTTCCCCATCCCTGCAAGAAGCAGCACACAGAGAGCAAACGAGAGTCAGAGCGACCTGAGAAATCTTCCTCCACTGTCTGCAGCTGCTGGTGCACAGGAAGTATTACCCACAGTGCTAACCTTCATATCAAGGTTGTTTGAAAAGGCTAATGAATATGGTTACATTTAGAAAATAAACTGCAACATTCAGCATCGAGACAAAAAGGTGATACAACAAGTACCACTTTTAGTTTATTTATCAGAAAAATTGCCTTTTTTAATTATACCAATCATTCTGATATTTCAACTTAAAGGTGGGGTAGGTAATTCACTTCAGAAACACTTTTTGTTATATTCCATGGAATGCTCTTAACATCCCGATAGCAATGAATATATTAAATGCTTTGACAATAAACACATAAAAAAATCTAATCTCTGGAAGCCGTGGCGCTGTAAAAAGCACGACCAATCATCTGAGCCGGCCCGGCTAAAATAACTGGATGGCCTACCTGCCTGTCAGCCTTCCATCTGTGCACAAACTTATCTCGTGCCCTCATTGGTCATGTGCGCGTTCGTGTGTGTTGGAGGAGGGGCTCTGTAAGGAAGTCTGAAGGAAGGGGCAGATTTTTTCCGGTTGTGTATTCGAGCTGGTTTCTCCATTCTTACCTACCCTACCTTTAAGTAGGTATTTGTTTATATTACTTTTATTATACAGTGTATAAGCTGATTTTAGTGCACTGTAATATGGTTATATTGCATGATAGACATGGACGCAGAGAAAGTGTCATCATTGAATTTGATTCGGCCAGGAAAGAGTAAACCAGAGAGATAAATGCCAGCAATTGAGCAGAGAATTATTATTTCTACATATTTCCTTGAAACTACGAAACCATTGAGTAGGTGTTTGTTAAAAATACTAACATGGGTTTGGCAACCTGGCAATCTAATTTCCAAATAATCGACAAAACACAAAAACCTAAAGAAATATACCTTTAAAATGGTGTGAGAGCAGGAATACACAATGTAAGGCTTTCAGGGTTAAACTGCCTCTTCACCACCACCACCACCCGACACAGGAGAAAGTAATATTAAAAGCCAACAAAGTAACACACACAGATCCACTGACAGCTCCATTTTTCACAACCACGACATAATGTATGGTAGGCGGCACACAAGCTCAGAGAAAGAAGGCCCGAGGCCCAGCACCCACAACGATAAAACACAACACAGAGCGGCACGACAAGAGAGATCCCACATGTGAAAATGAAGTGTTCCAGGATGATTATCAGGCCACGTTACAAACAGAGAGCGCACTCAGCAGTCAACATGGTGGTATAGAAGGGAGAGGGGGGGGTGGGCTGGAGGGGTCTGAGTGGCGAGGAATGATTCTTTCCTACCTGAGTATCCAAAAGAAATGCTGGAGATGGGGCTCAGATAGATGCCCTTTCCATACGCTGCCCCATGCAGCTTGGGTTTGAAAAGAGCAGGAAGGAAGGAAGGGTCACTGAGCAGTTGCACAAGACCACCTCACACACACACACACACACACACACACACACACACACACACACACACACACACACACACACACACACACACACACACACAAATATGCCAGGCCATCACGTTCATTACAAACAATCTGAATCTTGCAACAAGATTTGTTTCCGATGGACTTCGTCTCTGTGGGAGCAGAGGCTCATGGGTAATATAGTTTTTGTAACATTTCCTTATACTGAAGTATGATCACACATGTCCTCAAACACACACATCCACTAAAACACCCACGGTGTCAACATCATACCAGTCCTCACAAATATAGAAGTACAACACACACACACACACACGCACACACACACGCACGCACGCACGCACGCACGCACGCACGCACACACACACACACACTCATGACCTACTGGCCTGACAAGGTAGCTCTACCGTGCGAAAACACATTTGAAGAGGTTAATGTAACATGACAATAAACCTGCGCCACACACACACACACACACACACACACACACACACACACACACACACACACACACACACACACACAC